GTTGGGGGGGGGAAGGGGGGTTCATGTCTGCCAGCAGCCTATGTTGAATAGTAACTTATTGCAGAGATATAACTTTTGATAAAGCACAACCTGTACATAAGCTGTAATGAGAACCTGACCCACTGGCAATGCATAGGGGGTGCAGATTGGCCATGCACCCCCTGGAAACACCAGCTATGAAACTGAAAGTGCCGGAAGAAATGCACTGCCAGTTTTCCCGCTGGTGATGTCACGCTTGGTGATCAGCTGCTGGGGGATTCCCCCCCCCCAGTTGACAATCAGCCAGTAGGGGACCTGCCCCCCCCCAGTCGGCAATCTGGTGCCCCCTGAGATTTGGGAGGCACCTGTCGCCCAAGACCTGACCTTTGCAGAATATTTTGTCCAAACTTTAAGGCTTGACTGCATCTATACACATATGTTGAACTACATGCTTAGTTGTGCTTTGCCAGATAAATCATTTGACATTTCTTCTTTTTCTGAATAAAGGACATGAACTTGAACCATAGAAGTCAATAGGAGATATGTTGGATCAGACCTTGAAAGAACTGGTAGCCTTTCTAGCACAAATACTGTGGTTGTCAATCTAACATTTGTCTTCTGTTAATACTCATGCATGTCATTCACTTTCTGAAAGTATTGTTGCTGGTAAAACTCCAACACCCAAATTGTTTGCTGAACATGATGCCGAATGGGGTACTAAGATAAACAAAATGAATTCATTTGAAATGGAAAATGTTGACAAATGTTCAGAGAAAAATGTCATCACGGCTGATCAATTAGTAATAAATAGCAAATAATAAAATCAGTGAGTCAAAGAAGAACCACACATGCTCCAGATGGAAAAAGCCAATTTCTGTGACCTTCTTTCCACATATTGCTTTCACATGACCCCATTGGCCTGATTCTGCTCTGACACCAGTATAAAATGTGTAGTAAATTCAGTTAAATCAATTCTTTACCCCAGGCTAACCCTACTATGTCATCAGGATCAGGCCTGTTGTATCTAATTATAACTTAAAAATTAAACTGCTGCTAATCTTTCCTATTTTGCATTATTGACAGTACAGTACGAAGACACATGAATTAAGCATTCAATCCTAACTGCAATTAATGGTTTCTCAGCACCACAAAATGGCATTTTAATTCCAGAAATACATACCATTTCTACATCAGAAACAGGTCCAAAACTGGTGACGTATATATCTGTTTGAACTTCAGTAACAGGACCTAATGTATAAAAGGAAGTGAGCAAGAAACATTGAATTTTGCAAGCTAACATATCTCAAAAATGATACTGGCACATATACAACATTTTATGCAGTTGTCATTTTGAAGGCTTTGTGGACTAATCACAGGAAAATGTATAGACAGCATATTCACAATTCTAAGCCTAATTTAATGTCAGACACTGAAAGTGTTCATTTTCATTGAATTATCTTCACTTGCATAAGTAAATCAAAATATATATATTTCCAATGCAACTCCACTCAGAAAATTACTGGATAAGAAAACAGGCACAAAAATGAAGAAAAAAAAAACACACAGAGAAAATTACTATTTTAAATAACTAATGGCCTATATCAGCAAAGCCTTTCTACCAAGCTATTCATTAATAGCACGTGCAGTCCCACTGATATAGTACATTCAGTAACATGAGATTGCAGGATCAAAAATTAGGGTCCAGATCAAAAGTTATCATATACCTAAATACTTTTGGGGACCTGGGCCTACATTCCGATTTTACCATTGATATATCCTTGCAAGTTCAAACAATATTCTTGTGACAATCCTGAAAGGCTTGTTAGTGTCCTGTATTTCTCCATATATAGTATAGTGTTAATGACAGAAAGCTTTTCTATCTCAACACACCACTGTACTTTGCCATGCTGTTAAAATACACTTCCTTATAAAAGTAAGGATGTAATTTACACTACAGCTCATATTCAGGGTATAATATAACTGCCATTAAACTAAAGGGAAACACTTCCACCATCATTAATGGGAGTATGTCATGACTGTGATAGAGCAATAGTTCTCCACCTTGTTAGACTCAAGGCACCCATTAGAACACATCAGCACTTAGTTTCACTGACATTTTGACGATAACAAAGTAGAACAATATTCCTGTGGCAAATAACTTAGAAAGCACATACCAAGTCAGAAAGTTTTTGATGCTATGGATTTCAAACTGAAATCCTTGAACTTGTCTTGGGAATCATGTGTAGGTGCTCACACACCTAACATTATTCATATTGCATGACACTCCATGGCACCCTTACAAGGATCTCATGATCCCCTGGTTGAGAATTACTGCGAGAGACTAACTAACATGGTATTCTATATATTTTTTTAATGCGACCACTAGGCCCACTAGCAATTTAGCTCAGACCACCAACTCATGTCACATATGCTATCAAACAGTCATTACATAGTAGTGACTTTAGACAGGTCATTTTCAGGTCCAAGGTTCAACAGTCTCCACACTCCTGAGACTTAAGTTTCAAAAAAGAAATTAGTAGGTTTACATTAATAAGGGCTTTTTCATACCTCTTACATTCCAGTAGGAAGCAGCAAATACTTGAAAACTGTTTTAAAGGCAAATAACTGCCTCTTGTAAGACTATTGTGAATACAGATGCCACTTCAGACCAAAATGCATAAAAATGAAAGAAAAAAAATAAAATAGGCACTGGCAAACAAACTCCTTTTTAGTCAAGAATACATATCAAACTGCTAAGCAAAATCAAAATAAAAGCTTATAAAAGTACTTTACTGAACAATTTGCAAACTACATTTTAAAGATCAGTTAAGTTGGTTGGGAATTTTTCAATTGATGGGATTTTTGTTGATTAATCAAAGTCAAACACTTCCACAAGACCTCAGTTTCAATAAGTTGCTTCATCAAGAAAGTTGCTCAGGTCTGGAATCTGGGTTTTTGGTTGTAGATGTGTTGGTCTAAGGACATAGGCAAGGTTCTTTGGGTAGATGTGATATCTTTTATTAGATCTCAGGTCTGGAATGGAATTTCTAATAAAACCCAGAGAGAGGTGAGAGAAAGACCCTTCCACAATAGCCTCAATAGCCAAGGAACTCATCCAAATAAAGCAGACTTGGATTTCAAGAGAAGTTTCAAAAGATCTTGGCTTCACCCCAGTGCAGAACAGTAATTTTAAACCTTGAACACTTTCATGGGACAGGAAAATCATTTCCCATTCAGTGACAATAAGAGATTAATGCATACATATTTCTTGTATTATTTAGTGACACTAGAACATTAGATACAGGTACTCCTCACTTAACAATGTCCCAGTTAACATTGTTTCGTTATTACTTCACTTATCTACTAGAAAACATACTTATCGTTTCGCTTAAAGTCGCATTTTTCAAGCATGTAACTACAGTGTTAAGCAAGGAGTAGCTGTATTGTATTACATCATATAGCAACTTAAATCAATTACTTCTTTTATTAGTTCTTCAAAATTAAGTTTTAACGGTCCTCCAATTATGCAAAGTCAATTTTGTATTTCATCTCTCCCTTGCAGTGAATCTCTCCTGTTTTATTCCACTGATCACTATAAATGTATAGTTGTATATCAAAATTGCCAAAGGAAAGAAAAATAAGTTCCACTTAAACAGCTATTCTGCACAGACACTGACTTACTATATTGTGTTGTTGAAATGGTTACAACCTCATTGGCAATAAAGTTGCACAGATTAGTAAGTGAAAAGAGGGTGAAAATTAAGGCTAGGAAAATGTTTTGAGGATCAAATTAGGTAACCTCATGCCCTAATGACAACACAATGCCCTGCCACCTCATGGACCCTGGGGCCAAGTACCCAGTCAGATCCTCAGGGCTTGACTGCACCATTTTGACAGCAAGTCCTGATGCCATGGGGCTTAAGCATGCCCCATCTATCTACCCAAATCAGAGGCATACATCAAACTTGTAAACACAGACAGTCTACTCTCTGCTGGTCCTTCTCTGCCTACTCTTGATCCGTCAGTCTCCAGCAGGCCTGAAAATAGCTGCTGGTGATGAGCCTAGAGCAGTTTTGTCGATAAACTTTCTAGTTTGGTGCTCACCTATACAGGAGCATGCCTGTGCATTCGTTTTGTTGGGGCTTACCAAGGACACATTGCTACAATGGTGTATAAGCCTGCATACCGTAGGTGGGTAGAGGCTAAGAGGACTGCAAAGGCAAATGAATTCTGAAGCCCTAGTGAAGGAGCATATGACTTTTCAGCAGCCAAAGTCTAATGCTCTCACAAGACATTCATACCTTATTAGAAGGACTCTTAAGAAAGAATGAAAAGGGAAATGGAGCTCCCTGATGATCATACACACGCACAGGAAGACTGACATTAAGGAACTAATCAACAGTTAATATTAAGAGCATAGTATTATACGAAGTTAGCAGCATACTAAATAAATTGTAAATCACCACGTTTTAGGGCATAAATTATAAATGTCAATGTACACGGAATTATTACATTTTAGAGGAGGCAGGGGTTTTTTTAGGAGAATATCAGGCTAATGGGAATAAAACTGAAGTATTAATAGAAACAGCTCCAGAACTAGGCATAACAGCACAAGAAAGCAATGTTTAACATTTAGCCTATAGCTCTACCAGCCCATAACATCCTGATCTGAAACCCCCTTCAGAGTTTCTCTAACCAACAGGCACAAACACTGAACTGTTTTGTGGTTTTGAAATGCAGCTTATATTTACGGACTGTGCTATGCCACACAGTTATATCTAATCTCTTTCTAGAGGTGTCCCTTTTTCAGTGCCCTGGCCCAAAGTTTCCACTTTTAAGCAGAGGCCAGTTGCTACTCTCTGACTGGGTCTTCTGGCTTCTGCATCCCTTGTTTCTCACCATGGCTCCCCCAGTGGCCCAAATTAATATAGAACAGGGGAGTGCATCTACATGTGCAATCAATGCAAAGTGATAAACTCCAAAGCACTTTGAGCCAGACTGAGTAACTGCTCCCAGGCACAGTGTCTACATGCACGCCCAGAACAGCAGCCCTTTGAGCTGCCCCAGAGAAGGCTTTGGGGGGAAGCCCTGGACTCTGTGTGGCAGCATCAGAAGGGCTGGCAGAGACACAAGAGTACCAAAACATGCAGAGCTGTGTGGTTAGGTGGCAGGCAGGGGACTGGCCCCTTGCTGCCTGGGCTGACTGGGTGCAATTTCTGCTCATGGTTATGATTTACATGACTGATTGATGATAGTAAATAACCCTGCTGTAAGATAGTACTGTCCCTGACAGTAATTAGTTTACTGAGCCCTAATGCAGGCACACATGTAGACTGTGATGCTTTACTGCAGAACTAATTAGTCAATTCTGCAGTAAAGCACATGTGTAGATGCACTTGGGGAGAAGCAATCTATGGCCCATGGAACGGATCTAGCTTGTGACAGCACACAGTGAGTGGAGGTGAGGAAATCGGTGACGTACAGGAGTGGAGCACATTCTTCACCCTGCACCATGCACTTCTCTGCCACAAGCTGCCAATGCCCTCTACAGCGTTCAGCAGAAAGAACCCCCCCACACACTGTTCTCGTTGAGGGCTGCTCTCTCACCCAGCTACTACAGCCTCTGCTTACCCTTGCTGCAAAATTTGGTGGTCCCCACTGCCTCGGTCAATAGAAATCAGTGGCACTCAGTGGCGAGAATAAGCAGAGGTTGCAGAAAGGAGGAACAAGAGCAAGAGAGCACCCCTCACCACAAAGCAAGGAGGGCACGGCACTGTAGAGGGGACCGGCAGCATGCCATTCTTAAAGGTTGCCAATCCCGGATTAGCCATTAGTAGTGACTTTCTGACTTTAAAGAATTATACAACATGCAGAAAACTACTGTAACACAAGGCAGCAGCCTTTTCAAAGCCAACTAGCACTTCCCAGGTCAACCGGAATTCCTTAAGTTAAATTGTAGAAGTAAAACTTAAATCAGAATCACCTACCCTGTTTTTACAAAACCTCCTAGCAATACCTTTTACATCCCAAACTGAACTTGGCATCCAAGTCACAGTGGCTCTACATCTATGGCCCAAATAGCAAAGGGATGTGCCTGGTAGTAACATCCCTCAGCACAGAATAATGCTTCAGGTAGGCTGTCTCCTAAGCCAAAAACACTTTAGCCACATCCATATAGTGCAGTGGGTGGATAATTAACATGGAGATAGGCCTACTCTCACTCACTCAGTAGTAATAATTAGCCCACC